GAGAGATTTTAGTGGACCACACACCACCACACATAATATTTTTACACAGAATTTTTCAGGCCCCAGAAAGGTACAGTGTGAATTATTACGTCAGGAGGTGTTGTTGCATGCCAGGTTAACCCTCGCCGTGCATTTCCCAGAGGGTTACGGTACTTTTTCGTAACTCTGTCTTTGTGTCTGTCTGCTCTGTTTTTAATCTCGCATCTCGTGCTATGACGTGCACAACAAGGGACACCAGCTTGTTAACCCTCAGCGTGCATGCTCAGCGAGGGTTACAGTACTTGGTCTGTCTGTCTGTCCGTCTATCAGCAGCTATTCTCGCAGCTATTCTCATACTACAGGCTACGAGGCGACCTATGAGCGATACCAGCACGCGTCAGCAGCTTGATCGCGCACGCGCTCCTGCCGGCTGGCTACGCACATGTGCATACCTGCAAGATGCCACGGGGTTGTTCGGAAGGCAAGCAGTTTTTCATGAGTGTCTCTCCTCAGTTTTGATCTCTTGTTCTCTTTTTTCCCAATGGATAACAAGTTGAGCAAGGTATGTCCGCCATGTAGTACAAAAGTTCACGTGAGACGAGCAGTTTGTGGATGCAACTTTGCATTCCCATCTACAGTCTGGCAATAATAATTATGTCGTACGCAAGCAATGGAATACAGAAGAGCAAATAAAGTTAATGTGAGAGACTCTGAAACACCTGAGCAATTGCTCTAACCGCTATCCACTGGTGCAACTAGCCTGTGATATGGCGAGAAACTGGCTCGCTGGCTAGGCGCTGGCAGCCCATCTAGCTTTATACACCAACGTCACAATGCACGCGTTTTGAGCCGAGGGTTTGCACTGCTTTTCATTGATAAGGAAATCAACATTTTAATAAAGCATTTTTACCTCGGCCAGGTCCGCCATGACACGCATGCATTTTTGTCATACTGCGATGTTTCACGCATAAGCTTACATGGACACTCATAAAGTGATGGCAATGATGCACAATCAGCCTAGTAGGCCCAGCGGTCTATGCCGTCCCTGATAATATATAAGCAATACTGAAGCTGAGTTTAATGGGTGAGGTTGCAGAGAGACACACACACACTCTAATTTGATTTGTGTATGTTGTTAGCTACTCATGACAATTGCAAGTATTTGGATAGAGTGTGGGCATAGCCCTCTCCAATGTCAACCACAACAGGATTCAAGGGACTCGAGGAATTTAATTGTACTACAACCATACAACCTTACAGTCATGCATTTGCAAATGCACATTCTGTCAATTCAACCATGCTACCATACGTGCATTGCAAATACGCATCGCAAACACACATCATTCTGTCGTGCACATGCTCAAAGTAATTCACTTGCTTTGGGTATGTTGTATTCTTACACATCCAAGCAATTGTACATATGACTTCTGTGTAAACTTTCATTCCATGCTCAGTGTTCAATGTCAATATACCAACAGGACTAGCTTACATTGGTTAACCTGTTTGTCAACTGTGGAGGATTCCTTTGTACTAGTGCTTGAAGTGTACATCCCAGGGTTCTAAATTCAAAATAAGTGCCCATGGTACAAAATAGCCCGTTCACTGCAGACTTTTTTCGACACTTGCATGTGCCACTTTGATGGAGGTTTTTAGTCTCAGCCCTTTGTTTCAAGTATGTAGCATGATGTTTTACTTCTGACACTGCCCCACTGGACAATGTCAACATAATTATTATTATAATAATTATAGAGAAATGCAGTGCATTGTTGGCAAGTGAAGCAGTTAAATACTTCGCATGTGTTTTGCGTGTTTTTAGAATTACATAGAACAACGGTGTGAGCAGTGGCCATCACAGAGCCCTGTCACATACAAATAGAGAATATTTCCCGCACTGAAACAACGACATAGGCTTGCTTCGCTCGCCACTGATGGTTTTCTTCGCCAACAGTTGTAAATTAACAAGTTGGAACTTTATAGGGAACCATTAATTAGTCAAATGTTGGTTGATGTACTGTGAAGTTATTGGCACGTTATCATGCTAACAATGGCTATTGCAGACTTGGTCATTGCTCCTTCAGGCATTGTCATATACATTGCGTGCATCATTATAATTTAGCTAACATCAATATATTATATAATATACCTGATGGTTTTGCTGGAGCCAAAGACTCTGACGTTTGTTTCTCCAGATCCTGACCTGGAAACACACCAGAAATCATCATGTCCAGGACAGGTGCTTTACTCCCTGTTGACATTTCTCCGTTGGGCAGCACCTGCTCCATGCAAAGAAAATTCATAGCCCCACTTCTCAAAATAGACCATAGCTAGAAACATACCAAGGAAGGCCGTCGCAGCTCAGGTTTAGGATGAGACTGCTGCTTGCTAAGCAGCGAAGTTGCGTTCGGGAGGGTTACAGGCTGAAACTTCTTCTGCTGAGACCCTTTGGCACCACGACTTGCAAGAAAATTTTTAACATCATCATTTTTCGCATAGTCGAGAGGAGTGAGTTGGTTTCTGTCCCTGCTGGATGGATCAACTCCCTGCTCGTCGACCAGATAGCTGACCACAGTGAGGTGGCCTCCTCTGGCGGCTGAATGGAGAGGAGTGGCACCGTCCGTTCCCCTGAACCCTGGGCTGACTCCTTCCGTCTCTATCAGATACTTAGCCACCTGTACGTGGCCGGTCCCGCAGGCGACTCCGAGCGGCGTACGTCCAGATTCGTCTTTGGAGAACGGGTTAGCATTTCGCTCCGAGACCAGGTTTGTGACGGCGACCACGTCTCCCGACGCGCAGGCCTGAAAAAGGAGCAACGTAAGCGTGAGTGTCAAGGCACCTCGCACGACACCAGACTGTGGGGTACAATCGCTGCCTTTCTCCCCCACGTTACCTCTTTCTTTTTCGCTTATGTTTTCCATTTTTCTAGCTGCTGCGGGACGAAGTAAGCTCGCGGTCTTTTATGCGGTGTGCGACCTGCGTGCCTCCAGAAGACCGACAAGTCGTATTTTCCCAGGGGACGACGAAGACATGTAGTTTCCGTTTTCAAACGGTTTGTGGCCTCCGTGGGACAGTGCACAGTGCACACGTAATTTCCGTCAGTCACTGACAAACAGGCGCTGCATTATATTACGTATGTTTATCAGTCTCGAGTAGTTTCCGTTCTAAAACGGAGTCAAACGTTAGTAATGACAGCACACAAAAGGGAGGGAAGTAGAAGGCAAAGATTTCCGTCTACAGATATAGTCTGGATGCCCCAGCGCTAAGTATTAGCATCCGAGAAGCCAAAGCTATACTATTATACTGTAGCCCACATGTTACACAAGTAATCCACATACCCTCATGCCTCTTCTGCCAAACAATCACTAGCTAGACTTTGCTATATATGCATATTTTACAGCAAGTCACTCAAGTGAGCAACATGGTTGAAGGAACTTTGTGCTCCAATTCTAGACCAATTTTTGCCAGGTCTTTTTAAAAACATGTACATTACAGCCAGTGTCACTCTTTGAAACTGTTTCAGTGTGTATCTTACTGTTTACTTACACATGTCTAGCTTTTTATAATCCTACATACAGGTGATACATTTTTGTTGTGTGACAAGGAGCAAGCTAAAATTATAGTGGTGCGAACTATACATACATTCGTAGCTCAACTGCACACTCGCTCCCACTTATATAGCAAAAAAATGCCCTACATTCAAATTGAGGTGTGTTAGTTATCACTCCTTGGGCAGTCCTGTTAGCAAGGCTTGAATTAGCAGCAAGGTGGTCAAGATTGCTTGTTAAGCCCACAACATGTTACCCTCTTCTCAATTGAAGCTGTCATTCACCCAATGGTTGTAACGTTACTTTCAAGTGTGATCTCCATAACCCCTGCTAATTAATGTCAGTGCATAATCACTGTCACGGATAGCTTTCTTCACTGGTTTACCTCAGACTTATTACTCCGCACGTTTTACTGCTCCCAATCCCCACACCTGGTATATATACTGAAAGTATGGGGAAGAGTGCACACAGTCAGAAAGAGAGGAAGAAAGCCGGCTGTGGGGTTCGAACCCACCACTTCCTGCAAGTGCTACTGGAGGGCTACATATTATGGTAGGCAGTGAAAATAAACATGACAGAGTAACCAGACTCCAATATCATAAAGGTGAATTATGCATTAATGAATGAGCTTTACAACCCTACCAACAGCTAGGCTGTAAACACAATTAAAAGTCAAGCCAATTCATGAACTGCTACACTTTTTCCCTACGAAACACAAAAAGCAAAAGGAAGTAACCTCAAACAAGAAAAAACTGCTTACAGTTACCTGTATATTTGTTAATGATTTCCTCTCCTAGAGCAGTGTCATTTCCTCCTGCACGATTAGCTACTGCTTTACCCAGAGCATGCCCTGAAGGCTCTTCAAACTTTTTAACATCATACTCTTTCCTCAGCCACAGGCTCACTACTTCAGTGAGGCAATCGACCAGTTGCCAAAACCCTATACCAGTGTTATTTTTAGGATCTCCCCAAGTGCCCTAAAACCTCCTGATGCTGTGAGTGAGATGCTGACAGCTGCAACTGGTATATACCTTCAACACACCACTGATGAATAGGTCATGGACCTAAGACTGTTGAATTAGCCCCCATACTTACCCTTATACTTTTGTACCCACATACTTACCTACAAGTAGATTCCTAGTATGGAGAGAGTACTAGTCATTAACCCTCGGTGCGCATGCGCAGCGAGGCTGTGTCCGCTATAGTGTGTGTCGACGCTTATTCTGGCACTACAGGCTACGAGGCGGCCTATTAGCGATACCAGCGGCTTCAGAAATACGCGAGCCTGAAAAGTTAAAGGGCGATTTTCCTGAAACGACTGAGAGATAGCCGAATTGCATAATCGCACTGGGCTTACCGCGACCTGATCCGCTCGCTCTTGGGGGCAAAAAGTCACAACGAATGGCAGGTATCGACTCCCACATGCTATCGTTCGCCGAGTATGGCGTCAACCCTCGGCGCGCATGCAGTCCGACTGTCTGACTGTCCGTCTCTTACCACGTTTTCTGCCACCTACGCGCAACAAACAGGCAAAATAGCGACACCGGCTGGTTCAGCGCTACATTGGCTTCATTAAACTACTAGTGGAAATGTTGAACATTGTTGGCGAGCGGGAGCGATCCAAGCTGGGATTTGCCGCGATGTTCGGGCTGCATAACGTGCCGTCAGCGCACAGCTTTCCTTTCTTGAAGCAAGACAGATCTACCTGTCGCCGTTACATGCGTATTGTACATTGGCAGAACGGTGAGCAGGTGAGCAGAACGGTATATACTTACCTTACGCTTCCAGCTCGTCAGTCGTGGTCGTCCACCGGGCAGCTGGCATGCAGCAGTATATGCACGAGCAATCCTCGCGTATTTGCAAGTTGCACCTTGGAACCATGAAGATTGGGAAGAGGTATATACAGCCTCGGTCAGTCACCGAAGGTTGCAGCGCATGCCGTCGAATGGAGGAGAGTTCTCTAGCTGGCTATATAGACCGATCGCGAGGCACCGTTTGTGAAAATGGTTTCGGATAAAGCGCGTATATACAAAGCCGCGCATGCGCACTTACACGACGTATATACGACGGTCGGTCCCATCAGATTTACAGAAACGTTCTGATAATCACTCAACAACAGAGTTTTAGGATATCACACACAGGTAAAATGCCATTTTCGTACAGTCTTGGCTGTGTAAAGATGTTAGCTACATAGCTATGCACTTTGGTAAAAATCACAACAAATATTGGCTTGTGGAAACGGAGTCAAGAACTAGTTAGTCTTGAGCAGTTCCTCGTCACCTACACAATGAACGGCACAGTAATGAAACAAGTAGCATAATTATATTGTGCAAAAAGGCCTATTATTGTACTTGTGTGTGCACGTGAATTAATAAACGCGGGCTAACTGCCAAAAGCACTGATGTGTAGGCGAATGCATGGCATTTTTGGCGAGCGGAAGCGAGCTTACAAATGGGGTCTAATCGTATCATGAGTCACTCTTGTGTGTGCACAAAACAGTGAGATACATTGCACAGGACCAAGTAGGCCGAAACAACCTTTTAGACCCGAGCGCAGTAGACAATTCGAGTCGAGTCAAAAACAGTCAGACGCGCGAATCAGGCATAATCCGGCAATCTGCGTGGCCTTGCCCGTTCCCGATCACGCAATCGGCGTTGAGAAAGCCGAACTTCTCTCTGCTCAGGAGTCTCACTGGCACGACGTTCTCTTTCCCTCTCTCGTCGACGACGAAGAGCATCTTCTCTAGACCGATCCATAACTCTTTCCCTTTCCTCACACGCTCACAAATTATGGGTGGAGCCGAAATTATCAGGAGTGGAGCCTACTGAGGGGTGGGCGCGACGTACCGACGACGTACGGTGACATGCGCAGTTCGGCGACGCTCGACAACGTACGGTGACATATAAAAATCGCGCCGTTCGGACCACTATAGGTTAGCTCGCTTCCGCTCGCTAATAAGCCCTCGGCGCAGAACAAGTGCTAATACTAAAGCGGTACTTTTAACACGTAGCAAATAGCTAGCTTGTGCAGGCGCAATAATTTGCAAAAAATAGCTAAGTTAAAAAAGGATTGAAAAAACTTACCAGCAATGATTGAACCCACATCAGAAGACTGCTAGTCCAATGTGCAACATTTACTCATGCCTGTGTGTGCATGTCCATTCAAGCTCTTGCATGCACAGAATATCACAGCTATGGCGAAAATGCATGCATGTCAGTCAAAACAAAATGGCGGACCAGCCCTAGGTTAGCAATAAAGGCTTTAACTTTTAAGGTAGAGATAGCGATTTTTTCTTTGTCATACCCGATACGCTAGTATTTTTGTACATGTTATAGTGCAAGATGCTCAGACTAACAAACCAAGTACTATCGAAATCCTCGCTGTGTATGGCGCCGAGCGTTAAATACATACCCATTATCCTGGCTGCCCATACTGCATTTTCAAACTCATTCCATACTCTAGTGCATGCCATTATTCTTACCTATGTGAACTTTGATAATTTCCGTTGCTAAGGCAGTGTTGTTTCCTCCGGCAGGATGGGCCACTGCCCCAGCCAACAGACTCCATGAGGGCTCTCCAAACTTCTCGGTGTCATACTGCTTGCTCAGCCAAAGATTGAGCATCTCAGTGAGGCAGTCGTCCAGTTTTCTATAATTCTTCTCCTCGACTGCATCGAGCTGCGCAGGATCCAGTCTGAGGGCCAGGCCTACATGCTTCCACCTGACTGTGACTGGCTCCAATACCTTCTTTACATACAACAGGTCCTGAGTACCTGTAAAGGTTTATTAGAGTAAACTATGTGCACCATACAAAAAAGTAACTGGTGTGTGGCAGTGTGGCATGCGTGGGAGCTGTGCATGATCACGACAAGTATGTAGGCAATGACTAAATTAATGACTCTGCATGACTTATAACACTGGCCTGGAATGTATACCTCAGACTGGGGCTAGGGGCAAAATTTATGGGGATGGCCGCACATTCTGCTTGTGTGCTTGTGCATACCAGAACTAAAGTGCAAGCCCTGGGTGTAGGACATACCCTGCGCTGTTGTGTAAGAATCACATGACCAAAATGCATAGTGGAAGTACAGGGTAGTAGTATTGGTCTCAAATGACATTGTCTTTCATATCATGCGCATGTATGCCAAAGGTTAAGTCGAGTAACAGACAAGATCTGCCATCTTAAAATACTCCCACAAATGAGGTAAATTATGGTACACTTGACTAGAGCACAGCAAACACTGTCACACCAGTTACTATACTATACTCACCGAGTTCTTTACTTTCTTTTTGCTTCGCTGCTAGAGGGAGTAATGACATGAAAATAAAGTTTACAATGGTTCACCTCAGACAGAAAAATTTGTATACTGCTCTCAACGTTGTTAAGGCATGAATCAGCAAAGTCTTAAGTAAAAGTAAAAGTCTCCATCATTAAGCTTTAATTTGCTAACCTTATACCCCTCTTCTCTGCTGCATCTTTGTCTACATGTCATTTTACATCTTTCCATGCTACTGCTTTCTTACTCATTCCATTCCATCCTAATTCTCAACAAAGATTCCACCTACTACTTGCGTTACTTCTATGCTCATTACAAAACCGTAGCTATAGCTATTGTATTGTTCAGGCTAAAATTTCAGGGTGATTGGATGCATGCACAGAAAAGTATGTATAGACTCTCCAACAAGAGAAAGTAAGTATATACCTGCAGTAATTAAAATTTCTTTGAGTGATGTCACCAACTCCTTGCTGCGAGGTCTTAGTGCAGGCCGATTCTGAAGACAATCCTCAATCAATTTTCAGGAGAGAATGGTCCTCTGGCAAAACCCGTTTGGCTTTCTCTATGAACTGTTTTCGTCGGTGAAGTTCAGTCACAGCATACACTTTCCCATCATTAGTGTCAGTGTAATTGGGAGGGAGGAGTGGGTGAACTGGAGATTGAATGACAGTGAAGAGAGACAGGTGTCCAAAAGAGAACACATCCAGGCTGGGGTCATAATCTTCTCCCTGTGCCTCGGGAGGCATATACTCTAGAGTTCCTGGTATTGAGGTCAGAGTTTCAGGAGTGGTACCAGGGTCAAGGTCAATGATTCGAGAGTTGCCAAAGTCTGTTATCTTGGCCGTCAGCTGTGAGTCTAGGAGGACATTGGTTGCAGTCAAATCACGATGGATTACGGCAGGTGTGCGGCTGTGAAGGTACTCCAGTCCACTGGCTGTGTCTAAGAGGATGGAGGCCTTTCTCTTGACTGGAAGGTCAGAGTTGTCTGGTTTGAGGAGGTAGGCTTGGAGGCTTGTCATCATCCGTTCCATCAGAAGAAGGGGCAGGGGATGGTCTAACAGAAGACACACTCCCTTACACCGGACAATGTTCTTGTGATTTAGCTGCATCATCATGTTTAGTTCGCCACACACTTTGAAAGCGATGGGAAGCTGCATTGCAGAGGAAGATACCTTGAAGAGTTTCCCAGCTACTGTTTCTCCAGCTGACGAGAGCTCAATGACAGAGCCATAGGCTCCATTGCCTAGGACCGTTCCGGTTGGTATGGCCTTCTTGATGTACTTTTTCAACTGTGTCTCTAGAATTTTCCTTAGTTGTGCTGGAGAAAAGGAAAATAAAGAAAGAGTATGGTGTAAACTTTTCCCAACAATGTCGTCAGATATTTCGGTTTCCTCAAAAAACTATGATGTTCGTTAAAAGTGAAATTTATCAGATACTCCTATTCTAGACTGAGTTGATTTATATAGCTATATACAAACTTAAAAAATGGTCCTTGGGATTGAGCAATACTTTCTGCTTCCAGTTAGTAGGAATAATACTAGGCAACGCATATTTGACGAGCAAAGCAATATTTCGCACGTTTTTGAATCACGTAAACATTGGTCCGTTAACACGTTCATTGTTACACATATGGAAAACTCTGCATTCAGACGCCTACGTGGGCTCGCTTTGCTCGCCAATTTTAGCTATAACTTACTTGAGGACATGTCTTCAATGATGGAGAGGTACATCATAATTTGATAATGGCCCCTTGCTCTGGCAATATCACCAGTGGTAAACCCCATTCCATTCCTTATGCTTGGATCACACTGGTATTCTTCTATCAAGAGTTTAACAACTAGGAAATGCCCGTGGAACGTGGCAATGTGGAGGGGAGTGGCGCCCATTCCATCTGGAGACAGGGGATCCATCTTTGTGTTGTCAAGCAAATACTTTATCATATCAACTCTGCCGGAAAGAGTTGCGCAGTGAAGAACGTTGAAGTTGTGCTGACCTCTGATCATTGGGTCGCAGCTTTTTTCGCAAATAAGGTACTTCAAGGTTTCTAGGTTACCTCCCACGGCAGCGTGATGGAGGGCAGTGTTTCCAAGCATGTTTCTAGCTTCGGGGTCGCAACGTTGCTCCTCCATCAGATACTTGACCATTTCCAATGTTCCAAACTGAGCTGCGATGTGAAGAGGAGTTGAACCTTTTTGCATCCTTGCATGAAGCATCAACCTTCCCGCTCTCCACCAAATATTTCATGATGTCGAGTCCCCCTAGCTTGGCGACAAAGTGGATTGCGTTCCAACCGTTCATTCCTATCGTCATTGGGTCACAGCCACTCTCAACTATTAGATACTGCACAATGTCTAGTTTCCTGGTATGAAGAGCGAGAAGGAGAGGGCTATTCCCTGAGATATCCTTGCTCTCAACGTCACAATGCCGTTCTTTGACCAGATATTTGACGACAGGTAGTTTTGCAGAGAGCACTGCACAAATGAAGCGAAAGTCATTCCTGTTTCTTCTTTGCTCGATACGTCCCAGTTTCTGTTCTTCTACCAGGTAATTGACTATTTCGAGATTGCCAAGCCGAGATGCCATGTGAAGAGCTGTTAGACCGTTGATACATGCAAACGTCGGTGTCGCAACTTCTTTCGTCAGCAAGATATTTCATTATGTCGATCTTTTCTCCTCCCACAGCATGCAAAAAAAGGAGTTGTGCCAAATGTATTTCTACAATTAATGTCAAAATTCTGTTCCTCGACCAGATACTTGACCACCTCCAGGGTTCCAAATTGAGCCGCCATGTGAAGCAGAGTTGTTTCGTTCTGAAACCGGTGTGCACTGTCAACCTTCTTGTCCTCAATCAAGTATTTGACTACAGCGAGACACCCAGACTCAGAGGCGCAGTAGAGAGGGGTCACTCCCATTCTACCTTGAGACGATGGGTCGCATTTGTGCTCATCTATAAGGTATTGCACAGTGTCAAGTTTGCCTCTTGCTGCGGCGCAGTGTAGGGGAGTTAGTTCATAGTTGTTTCGGCATTCCACATCACACTGTTGCTCTTCGACAAGGTATCGAACCGTTTTCAGAGGCGCAAACTGCACGGCGATATGCAGTGGCGCAGTACCATTGTCATCTTGGCACGACGAGACATCCACTTTCGCTACCTCTACCAGGAATTTTCACAGTATCATAGCTGTCTGCCTTGCATGCAAAGTGAAGAGCGGTCATACCTTTGTCCCCTTTATCCATCGGATTACAACCCTTTTCGTTGATCAGGTACTGGACTACACTAAGGTGTCCACCTAATGCAGCAAGATGGAGGGGAGTGTTTTTGTCCTTGTCTGCAGATTCTAGATCACATTGTCTTTCATCTGCAAGGTACTTTACAAGCTCCAGATGACCATGACTACAGGCCAAGTGAACCACTGATTTTCTGTTCTTATCTCGGCAAAGGTTCGGGTCAAGGGGCTGTTCTTCCAGAATTTTCTTCATACAATCCAGGTCTCCTTTTTCACTGGCTTTGAAGAGAGAGATGGCACCTTCTGAAAAAGAGACATTTGAAAGTGCTTTCAACAATGGTCACATTTTGATAATGATTCGCACTTGCATGCATGCATGTTGATGCATTACATAACCTTAGTTTTCTTTGTCAGCACTGTCTATTATGACAACTAGCTGTATTCAAATCGTACGTGAGTGCAGTGTGCGATTGACGGCGTACGAGCTCCTGCTGGCTGGCCACGCTGGCACGCACGCATGTCATGTTACTCGCTGGATCATGTGCATACCTGCAAGATGCCACGGGGTTGTTCGGAAGGGCAAGCAGTTTTCATGAGTGTCTCTCCCCAGTTTTGATCTCTGTTCTCTTTGTTCGCAATGGATAACAAGTTGAACACAGAAGAACGAATAGATTGACTATAATGTGAGAGACTCTGAAACACCTGAGCAATTGCTCCACTGGTGCAACAGCCTGTGATATGGCGAGAAACTGGCTCGCTGGCTAGGCACTGGCAGCCCATCTAGCTTTATACACCAACGTCACAACGCGCGCGTTTTGAGCCGAAGGTTTGCACTGCTTTTCATTGATAAGGAAATCAACATTTTAATAATCCATTTTTCTAAAACTGTTTACCTGAAAAGCATTTTTACCTCGGCCAGGTCCGCCATGACACACATGCATTTTTGTCATACTGCGATGCTTCACGCATAAGCTTACATGGACACTCATAAAGTAATGGCAATGATGCACAATCAGCCTAGTGGGCCCAGCGGTCTAGGCCGTCCCTGATAAGCAATACTGAAGCTGTGAGTTCAATTGTTGCTGGTAAGTTTTTTGATGCCATTAGAATCATCATAAATTTTAGTAAAATCCAGAAGTCCTACAAAACCTTTGGTACATGCTAAAATTGCGCTGGTTTTGCGCCGAGGGTTTTCACTTTAGTGCTTTTCATTATAGCAGCTTCCAAAGCACAGTGAGCTTCGTTCCACATAATATAAGAAACTCCTGGCACACCTAAGCCTTCTTAGTGTTTGTGCTGCTGTGCTGCAAAAAAATGTTAACAGATAGGTAAAAGCCCACTACTTTGTGTATGTGTCCATCAAAATAGCTCTACATAATCCTCATACATTTAGCAACACCAATTTTTGACTGCAGTTTAGGATTACCATAATAATATCAGTGCTAGCGCTTACACACAGTACTGGATTGGGCTCTCAACTTTATGCATCTTATTGGGCTCTCAACTTTATGCGTCTTATTGCATTGCATCTTAGTGCATGCAATAAGGTGCATAAAGTTGAGAGCCCAATCCATCTTAGTGCATGCAATAAGATGCATAAAGTTGAGAGCCCAATCCTACTGTAGGGATGGATAATTACAACCTCAATTTGTTCTCTGGAATGTGATTTACAAGCTTGCTCAGCTGTGTATATGTGACAAGGATGAGGTTGCAGAGAGACACACACACACACTCTAATTTGATTTGTGTAGGTTGTTAGCTACTGGATAGAGTGTGGGCAGTTCTGCCATAGCCCTTGTGGTCCATCTCCAATGTCAACCACAACAGGACTCAAAGGACTAGAGGAATTTAATTGTACTACAACCATACAACCATACATGCATTTGCAAATGCACATTCTGTCCTACGTACATGCATTGCAAATACGCATCGCAAACACACATCATTCTATGATGCACATGCTCAAAGTAATTCACTTGCTTTGGGTATGTTGTACTTCTTACACATCCAAGCAATTGTACTATGACTTATGTGTAAACTTTCATTCCATGCTGAGTGTTCAATGTCAATATACCAACAGGACTGGCTTACATTGGTTAACCTGTTTGTCAACTGTGGAGGATTCCTTTGTACTAGTGCTTGAAGTGTACATCCCAGGGTTCTAAATTTAAAATAAGTGGCCATGGCACAAAATAGCCCGTTCACTGCTGACTTTTTTCGACACTTGCATGTGCCACTTTGATGGAGGTTTTTAGTCTCAGCCCTTTGTTTTAAGTATGTAGCACGATGTTTTACTTCTGACACTGCCCCACTGGACAGTGTCAACATAATAATAATATAGATAGAGAAATGAAATGCAATGCATTGTTGGCAAGTGAAGCGAACAGTTAACTTTGCGTGTGTTTTGCGTGTTTTTTTAGAATTACATAGAGCAACGGTGTGAGCAGTGCCCATCACAGAGCCCTGCACATACAAATAGCATAATAATGGCTATTGCAGACTTGGTTATTGCTTCATCAGGCATTGTTGCATTACCCTCGGCGCGCATGCGCAGCGAGGGTACTGTAGTTGGGTGTGTGTGGTGTGTGTGTCTGTTACTCTCAATCTCACTTCTCGAATGTCTGTTCGTCCAGAAACGCTACCATCTACCCAACGGGCGACGAAGGTCAGAAAATATGTGCGGTTTTCTCTGAAAATGCTCCGTTGCAGAGCTAGAGCGCTTCCACCATTGTACGGCTAATGCGTAGTCGGCCATTTTTATCGCTGCGGAAAATGCGCATGCGCTTATAGCCTCGACCGGGTCGTCCGCTTGCTCTTGAAGGCACAAGAAGTCACAACGAAGGGCGTGTATCGACTCTCGCATACTATCTACTACTGTAGCTAGCCCGTGTCAGACTCTCTGCGAGCTACTAGCGGGAGATCACGAGTAAACGCATACTAATAGCAGCCCAGCCCATCAATTAGCGGTACCGCGCATCCCCAGTTCGCCGAGGGTTTGCACTTCAGTGCTTTTCATTGGGTCTGTGTGTGTGTTACTCTACATCTCACTTCTCCAATGTTCTTTCGTCTCACAAATGATAGGAGTTACTTAACGGGCAATGAAGGTCTGAATTTTCGAACGGTTTTCTCTGAAAATGCTCCGTTGCAAAGCTAGAACGCTCCCAGCATTGTACGGCTAATGCCATTTTTATCGCTGTGGAAAATGCGCATGCGGTTACTTATGCTAATTCTACCGGGCCAGATTGCTCTGTTTTTCTTGAAGGCACAAGAAGTCACAACGAAGGGCGTGTATCGACTGCCGCATGCTATCTACTACTGTAGCTTGCCCGTGTCAGACTCTCCGCAAGCTATACTAGCGGGAGACACCACGAAATAGCCCTGCCTATCAATTTAGCAGTACGGCGCATGCGCAGTTCGCCGAGGGTTTTAACCCTCGGCGGCGCGCATGCGCAGCGAAGGTTAGTACTTGTTCTGTCCGTCTGTCTGTCCGTCTGTCTGTCCGTCTGTCCGTCTGTCCGTCCGTCTGTCCGTCCGTCCACGTTTTCTGCCACCACGCGCGACAAACAGGTAAAATAGCGACACCAACGGGTTCAGCGCTACACCCGCTTCATTTTTAAAATGCCGATTATTGTTAAAAGTGCCGCGTTCAGAAGTTATGGCATGAAAACCAAGTGAACAAGCCAATATGCAAATTAGCACAGGCTTACCTCGACCGGGTCCGCTTGCTCTGTGTACCTTGGAGGCACAAGAAGTCACAACGAAGGGCGTTTATCGACTCCCGCATGCTATCTACTACTGTAGCTAGCACGTGTCAGACTCTTCGCGAGCTACTCCGCGAGTAAACGCATATATACTACAAATAGCCCAGCCCATCAATTAGCGGTACCGCGCATGCGCAGTTCGCCGAGGGTTTGCAATTTAATTTAGCTAGCATTATACCTGATGGTTTTGCTGGAGCCAAAGACTCTGACGTTTGTTTCTCCAGATCCTGACCTGGAAACACACCAGAAATCATCATGTCCAGGACAGGTGCTTTACTCCCTGTTGACATTTCTCCGTTGGGCAGCACCTGCTCCATGCAAAGAAAATTCATAGCCCCAGTTCTGATAATGGACCATAGCTATAATTATATATATATCAACATACCAAGGAAGGCTGTCGCAGCAGCTCAGGTTTAGGATGAGACTGCTGCTTGCTAAGCAGCGAAGTTGCGTTCGGGAGGGTTACAGGCTGAAACTTCTTCTGCTGAGACCCTTTGGCACCGAGACTTGCAAGAAAATCTTTAACATCATCATTTTCCGCATAGTCGAGGGGAGTGAGTTGGTTTCCGTCCTTGCTGGATGGATCAACTCCCTGCTCGTCCACCAGATATCTGACCACAGTGAGGTGGCCTCCTCTGGCGGCTGAATGGAGAGGAGTGGCACCGTCCGTTCCCCTGAACCCTGGGCTGACTCCTTCCTTCTCTATCAGATACCTAGCCACCTGTACGTGGCCGGCCCCGCAGGCGACTCCGAGCGGCGTACGTCCAGATTCGTCTTTGGAGAACGGGTTAGCATTTCGCTCCGAGACCAGGTTTGTGACGGCGACCACGTCTCCCGACGCGCAGGCCTGAAAAAGGAGCAACGTCAGCGTGAGTGTCAAGGCACCTCGCACGACGCCAGACTGTGTGGTACAATCGCTGCCTTTCTCCTCCACGTTACCTCTTTCTTTTTCGCTTATGTTTTCCATTTTTCTATAATTATATATAGCTGCTGCGGGAAGAAAGAAGCTCGCGGTCTTTTATGCGGCGTGCGGATTTTCCCGGGGGACGACGAAGACAAGTAGTTTCCCTTTTCAAACGGATTCGAGGCCTCCGCGGACAGTGCACAGTGCGTGGAATTTCCGTCGGTCACTGACGAGGTTGTAAACAGGCGCTGAAAAGTTACATTACGTAGCTAGTGCTTGTTTATCAGTCACGGGTAGTTTCCGTTAGTAATGACAAGGCAAAGATTTCCGTCAGACAGTCCCCGGATGCGTCAGCGCTAAGAATTAGCATCTTCCGTCCCACCTGCACTGAGATCAGCGAGGGGTGTATATACAGGCAGTCTATTATACTGTACCGCACATGTTTACACATGTAATCTACCCTTTATTCTGCCAAACAATCACTAGCTAGACATTGCCATGCATTTTACAGCAATACATGTCACTCAAGTGGGCAACAACATAGTTGAAGGAACTTATTGCTCCAATTCTGCACAAATTTTGCCAGGTCTTTTTGTTAACGTGTACATACATCACAGCAAGTGTCACTCTTTGTTAACCCTCGGCGCGCATGCGCAGCGAGGGTTACAGTAGGCGTTCTGTCTGTCTGTCCGTCTGTCCGTCTGTACGATAAACATGCTGAGAAAGCAATAGTTCAGGTGGCGAGCAGTTTGTGGTTGCGGCCTTGCCTTCCCATCTATAAAACGTCTGGCGAGAGCATTGAAACACAGAAGAGCAGATAGATTGAATAAAGCAAATATGAGAGCCTCTGAAACACCTGAGCTATTGCTAATGCAACTACCCAGTGTTACGGTGAAACACGTGTTACTGGCTCCGTCGATGACGCACGGCCCAGCATACAGCGATGCTACAACTCGCTAGTTTACCGCCGAGGGTTTGCACTTTAGTGCTTTTCATTGAAACTGTTTCACTGTATATCTTACTGTTTACTTATGCATGGCTTAGCTTTTTATAATCCTATATACACACAGGTGATACATCTTTGTTGTTTAACCATGAGCAAGCTAACAATAATAATATAGTGGTGTGATATATGATTCGTAGCTCAACTGCTGCTGCATGCACACTCACTCCCACTTAGCAAAAAATGCCATATATATACATTCCTAGCTAATTGAGGTGTGTTAGTTAATCACTCCTTGGGCAGTCCTGTTAGCAAGGCTTGAATTAGCAGCAAGGTGGTCAAGATTGCTTGTTATGAAGCCCACAACATGTTACCCTCTTCTCAATTGATGCTGTCCTACACAGTGTTTCACTGCTGCGCAATGTCATTCACCCAATGGCTGTAACATTTCTTTCAAGTGTGAGATCCATAACCCCTGCTAATTATTAATGTCAGTGCATAATCACTGGCACGGATAGCTTTCTTCACTGGTTTACCTCAGACATATTACTCCGCACATTTAACTGCTCCCAATCTCCACACCTGGTATATATACTGAAAGTATGGGGAAGAGTACACACAGTCAGAAAGAGTGGAAGAAAGCCGGCTGGGGGTTGGAACCCACCACTTCCTGTTTTCCGGGCAAGTGCTACAGGAGAGCTACAAAATTAACCCTCGGCGGGCATGCGCAGCGAGGGTTACTGTAGTTGGGTTTGTCTGTGTGTGTGTGTCTGTTACTCTACGTCTCACCTCTCGAATGTCTGTTCGTTACAGAAACGATACCATCTTCCCAACGGGCGACGAAGGTCAGAAAATATGTGGGCGTTTTCTCTGAAAATACTCCGTTGCAGAGCTAGAGCGCTTCCAGCATTGTATGGCTAATGCCGGTAGTCGCCATTTTATCGCTGGCGGATAATGCGCATGCGCTTATATTTAGCACAGGCTTACCTCGACCGGGTCCGCTTGCTCTGTCTATCTTGAAGGCACAAGAAGTCACAACGAATGGCGTGTATCGACTCTCGCGTGCTATCTACTACTGTAGCTAGCCCGTGTCAGAATCTCTGCGAGCTACTCACGGGAGACCCCGAGTAAGCGCATACTATACTAATAGCCCAGCCCATCAATTTTAGGGGTACCGCACATGCGCAGTTCGCCGAGGGTTTGCACTTTCATTACCCTCGGCGCGCATGCGCAGCGAGGGTACAGTAGTTAACCCTCGGCGCGCATGCGCAGCGAGGATTACAGTAGTTACCCTCGGCGCGCATGCGCAGCGAGGGTACTGTAGTTACCCTCGGCCCGCATGCGCAGCGAGGGTACAGTAGTTGGGTTTGTCTGTGTGTGTGTGTGTGTGTGTGTGTCTGTCTGTTACTCTCAATCTCACTTCTCGAATGTCTGTTCGTCTCACAAACGATACAACCTACTTAACGGGCAATGAAGGTGAGAAATTTCGAACGGTTTTCTCTGAAAATGCTCCGTTGCAAAGCTAGAGCGCTTCCACATTGTATGGCTAATGCCGGTAGTCGCCATTTTATCGCTGGCGGATAATGCGCATGCGCTTATATTTAGCAAAGACCGGGTCCGCTTGCTCCTTCTATCTTGAAGGCCACAACGAATGGCGTGTATCGACTCTCGCGTGCTATCTACTACTGTAGCTGGCCCATGTCAGACTCTCTGCGAGCTACTTCGCCGAGGGTTTGCACTTTAGTACTTTCATTGGGTTTGTCTGTGTGTGTGTGTGTGTGTCTGTCTGTTACTCTCAATCTCACTTCTCGAATGTCTGTTCGTCTCACAAACGATACGACCTACTTAACGGGCAATGAAGGTCAGAAATATCGAACGGTTTTCTCTGAAAATGCTCCGTTGCAAAGCTAGAGCGCTTCCACATTGTATGGCTAATGCCGGTAGTCGCCATTTTATCGCTGGCGGATAATGCGCATGCGCTTATATTTAGCAAAGACCGGGTCCGCTTGCTCCTTCTATCTTGAAGGCCACAACGAATGGCGTGTATCGACTCTCGCGTGCTATCTACTACTGTAGCTGGCCCATGTCAGACTCTCTGCGAGCTACTTCGCCGAGGGTTTGCACCTTAGTGCTTTTCATTGGGTTTGTTTGTCTGTCTGTCTGTCTGTCTGTTACTCTCAATCTCACTTCTCGAGTGTCTGTTCGTCTCACAAAGGATACGACCTACCTAACGGACAATGAAGGTCAGAAATTTCGAACTGTTTTCTCTGAAATTGCTCCATCGCAGAGCTAGAGCGCTTCCGCCATTGTACGGCTGATGCGTAGTCGGCCATTTTTATCGCTGAGGAAAAGGCGCATGCGCTTATATGGGTCCGCTTGCTCTGTGTATCTTGAAGGCACGATAAGTCACAACGAAGGGCGTGTATCGACTCCCACATGCTATCTACTACTGTAACTAGCCCGTGTCTGCGGAGAACACGAGTATACTATATAGCAGCCCAGCCCATTAATTAGCGGTACCGCGCATGCCCAGTTCGCCGAGGGTTTGCACTTTAGTGCTTTTCATTGGGTCTGTCTGTCCGTGTGTCTGTTACTCTCAATCTCACTTCTCGAGTGTCTGTTCGTCTCACAAAGGATACGACCTACCTAACGGGCAATGAAGGTCAGAAATTTCGAACAGTTTTCTCTGAAAATGCTCCATTGCAGAGCTAGAGCGCTTCCGCCATTGTACGGCTAATGCTAGTCGGCCATTTTTATCGCTGCGGAAAATGCGCATGCGCTTATATTTTGAACAGGCTCGGGTCCGCTTGTTCTGTGTCTGTGTATCTTGAAGGCACAAGAAGTCACAACGAAGGGCATGTATCGACTCTCGCATGCTATCTACTACTGTAGCTAGCCCGTGTCAGACTCTCTGCGAGCTACTAGCGGGAGACCACGAGTAAACGAATACTAATAGCAGCCCAGCCCATCAATCAGTGGTACCTCGCATGCCCAGTTCGCCGAGGGTTTGCACTTTAGTGCTTTTCATTGGGTCTGTCTGTCTGTGTGTCTGTCTGTTTGTCTGTTACTCTTCATCTCACTTCTCGAGTGTTCTTTCGTCTCACAAAGGATACCATCTACCCAACGGGCGATGAAGGTCAGAAAATTTGTGGGGTTTTCTCTGAAAATGCTCCGTTGCAAAGCTAGAGCGCTTCCAGCATTGTATGGCTAATGCTGGTAGTCGCCATTTTATCGTATGTAAATTAGCACAGGCTTACCTCGACCGCGTCCGTTCGCTCTGTGTGTCAACAAGTCACAACGAAGGGCATGTATCGACTCCCGCATGCTATTTACTACTGTAGCTAGCCCGTGCCAGACTCTCCGCGAGCTACTAACGGAATACCACGAGAAAAGGCATAAAAAGCCCAGCCCATCAATTAGTGGTACCGCACATGCGCAGTTCGCCGAGGGTTTGCACTTTCATTGTGGTAGGCAGTGAAAATAAACATGACAGAGTAACCAGACTCCAATATCATAAAGGTGAATTATGCATTAATGAATGAGCTTTACAGCCCTACCAACAGCTAGGCTGTAAACACAATTAAATGTCAAGCCAATTCATGAACTGCTAGACTTTTTCCCTACGAAACACAAAAAGCAAAAGGAAGTAATCTCAAACAAGAAAAAACTGCCTACAGTTACCTGTATATTTGTTAATGATTTCCTCTCCTAGAGCAGTGTCATTTCCTCCTGCACGATTAGCTACTGCTTTACCCAGAGCATGCCATGAAGGCTCTTCAAACTTTTTAACATCATACTCTTTCCTCAGCCACAGGCTCACTACTTCAGTGAGCCGATCGACCAATTTCATTTTTTCTACCTCAATCACATTCAGTTCATCGGGGTTCACTCCGAGGGCAAGCCCTATTCCCTTCCATCTGAAACTAACTGGCTCCAACGCACTTAGTACATCGAACAAGTTTAGGTCTGCATAAAAAAAGTGAAACGAGTATAAGAGACGTTTATGCAGGTCATCACCTACCAGTTTGCCCTTCAGCTTCTCCTGCACTCCCTCCTATATAGCATAACAGGCATTATGTGTACTCAGTCAAGTGTACTTTCAGAGTAAGATACAGATAATAGGACGTACCAAGGGAAAATAGGATTTCTTTGAGTTGTGCCACTAGCTCCTTGCTGCGAGGTCTTAGTGCAGGTCGATTCTGAAGACAATCCTCGATCAATTTCAGGAGAGAATGGCCCTCTGGCAGTATCTGCTTGGCTTTCTCCAAAAAACGCTCCCTTCTCTTAACTTCGATTACAGTACGCACTTTTTTTCTGGAGTCAGTGTAATTGGGAGGGAGGAGTGGGTGAACTGGAGATTGAATGACAGTGAAGAGAGACAGGTGTCCAAAAGAGAACACGTCCAGGCTGGGGTCATAATCTTCTCCCTGTGCCTCGGGAGGCATGTACTCTAGAGTTCCTGGTATCGAGGTCAGAGTTTCAGGAGTAGCACCAGGGTCAAGGTCGATAATTCGAGAGTTTCCAAAGTCTGTTATCTTGGCCGTCAGCTGTGAGTCTAGGAGGACATTGGTTGCAGTCAAATCACGATGGATTACGGCAGGTGTGCGGCTGTGAAGATACTCCAGTCCACTGGCTGTGTCTAAGAGGATGGAGGCCTTTCTCTTGACTGGAATGTCAGAGTTGTCTGGTTTGAGGAGGTAGGCATGGAGGCTTGTCATCATCCGTTCCATCAGAAGAAGAGGCAGTGGATGGTCTACAAGCAGACTCACCCCTTTACACTGGACAATGTTCTTGTGACTGAGCTGCATCATCATGTTTAGCTCGCCACACAACTGAGCCACTAACGAGAGTTGTTTCACATCAGAAAACGCTCTGAAACTTTTCCCAGCTAGAATTTCACCAGCTGATGCTAGTTCAATGACAGAGCCATAGGTTCCACTCCCCAAGACAACTCCAGTTGGTGTGGCCTTTTTGATGTACATTTTCAGCTCAGTTTCAACGATCTTTGTCAGATTAGCTGGGGATAGACAAGAGTAATAATATTAGTACCAAAATTATCCTAACCTATAGAACTTACTAGATGCTGTGTTTTCAATAGAAGAGAGGTATGATTTGACTTGAGTGTGACCCCAGGTTTCGGCTACATCTTTTGGAGTCAATCCATCCTGGTTTTTAATTCCAGGATCACACAAGTTCTCACCTATCATAAGTTTAAGAACTGAAAGATGCCCATAGTGCGCAGCCAAGTGGAGTGGACTAGCACCAGTCCCATCTGGGAATGAAGGCTTAACCCTTGGGTTGTTAAGCAAGTATTTCACGATAACAACATCGCCAGTCACGCAGGCACAGTGAAGTGGAGTGTACCCATTCTGACCTCTACTCATTGGGTCACAGCCTCCATCGCGCATCAAGTACTGAAGGTTCTCCAGCTTTCCCCCCAATACGGCACAATGGAGAGCAGTGTTACCAACACCATCTCTGTCTTCAACATCAAGACATCTCTCTTGAACTAGATATCGCACTGTGTCTAATGTTCCAAACTGAGCTGCCGTGTGAAGAGGAGTTGCCCCATCGCCATCCCTACACGAGGCATCAACCTTTCCCTTTTCAGCCAAGTATTTCACCATATCAAGTCTACCAAGCTGACATGCAAGGTGAATAGTAGTCAAGCCATTCATGCCTGTACACAAGGCATTGCAGCCCTTTTCGTCAACCAGATATTTCGCAATGTCTAGTTTTCCTCCATGAACAGCCTGAAGAAGTAAAGTGTTCCCAAAGTTGTCTTTGAAGTCGGCGACATAAGTCGGATGTTCAGAGAGAAGTCTTACCAGAGGTAAAGTTCCGAACTGGGCTGCAACGTGAAGTGGAGTAATGCCATGTTCGTCTACACAAAAGGGATCAAGCTTCTTCTCTTCAATCAAGTATTTTACCACAGGCAGTGCACCTGTTATACACGCACAGTGAAAAAGACCCAGGCCATTCATGCCTCTAACCATCGGATCACATCCTTTTTCACCAATAAGGTATTTGAGAGTTTCCACCTTATTTCCGGCTGCAGCATGCATAAGAGGAGTGTTCCCATACTTGTCTTTGCACTCATAATCGCAGTGTTTCTCCTCGACTAGATACCGCACTAAATCCAGTGCTCCAAACTGAGCTGCTGCATGGAGTGGGGTGCAACCATCATCACACTGGATCGCACAGTCCACGTTCTTGCTGTCAACAAGCCATTTGACTGTATCGAGACTGCCGGCCTCGCAGGCAGAGTGGACTGGCGTCACACCCATCCAGCCTCGACACATTGGATCACAGCCCTGCTCATCGATTAGGTACTGGACGGTGTTCAGTTTACCACTCGCTGCTGCACCGTGGAGGGGGGTAAGCCCGTAATGGTTCATACACCCTACATCACAGTCATGCTTCTCTACAAGATATTTTACGATGTCTAGCGGTGAAAACTGAGCTGCAACATGCAGTGGAGTGGCACCACTATCATCAGGAGACGAGACGTCTACTTTCCTTTCCTCTACCAAGAACTTGACCACATTGAAACTGCCTGCCTTGCACGCACAGTGAAGAGCGGTCATACCTTTGTCCCCTTTACCCATCGGATTACAACCCTTTTCGTTGATCAGGTACTGGACTACACTAAGGTGTCCACCTAATGCAGCAAGATGGAGGGGAGTGTTCTTGTCGTTATCTGTGGATTCTGGGTCGCAGTGTTTCGTGTTGACAAAGTATCTCATAATTACTAGATGGCCCTGACTAGAGGCAAGGTGAAGTGGGGTGGAGTTGTTCTCATCTCTGCAGGCCATTGGATCAATGTGTCTGTCGTCCACCAGTTTCTTCACACGAGTCAGGTCGCCGTTTTGACTTGCATTTAACAGAGCTCTACTTCCTTCTGTATGGGGCACAATAGTCAGTGCTAATACTAATTGTGGGGTGCATCATCAAAATTATACACTACTGGGGACCTACCTATAAACAGGTTGTATAATTGGAAAGCTTTGATGCGGATTTGATATTGTATGTATACGCCGCTGTGCATACCATAATGCATTGTAAAATTTCGTATACTTGCTTGGTGCATAATGCATGCAGGCATTTTCCTTGACATGATGCTCTTCATGCATGTGCCAAGTTGGCATATAATCGTGACATTTTGTGTCCACAGTCAAGAGATCTCTCCTGGTGAACTGTGACAAGATGGTCGAGTGTTGAGTGTCGAGTCTCGCAATGCCTAGTTTGCTAGCCCGTGTCAAACTCTCACAGAGCTAGTGTCTAAGTAAGAGACGACGTGCAAATTGACAGCGCAGCCAAGTCCATCAAATAGCAATACTAACACACCCATGTGAATAGGCGCAGTTTGCCAGTGCACCAAGGGAATGTACTTTCTAGTGCTTTTCATTCCAATCAGTACTACGTAGGTTCTTTACTACCAATAACGAAAACCCTCAGCAAACAGTGCATGTGCAGTACCACTAATTGATGGGCACGGCTTCAAGTATGCCTTACGCCTTTACTCGTGGTCTCCCGCTAGTAGCTTGTGGAGAGTCTAACACGGGCTAGCTACAGTAGTACATTGCATGCGGGAGTCGATACACATCCTTTGCTGTGACTTCTTGTGCCTTCAAGATACACAGAGCGAGCGGAAGCGGTCGAGGTAAGCCTGTGCAAATTTGCATCTTGGCTTGTTGACATGCTTTTCCCGCCATAACTTTTGAACGCAGTAGTTATACGAAAATCGCCTTTTTTGAAGCCAGTTTAGCCATGAACCCGTTGGTATCACTGTTTTGTTGTTTTGTTGTGCATAGTCACGGAAAACGTGGTAACAGACAGACCGACCAACGGACAGACAGAGAGACAGACACAGTGTTCTAGCTAGGAAAAAATCACAGAGCGGTGCTATCCACCACCTAGGGGGGTCTGGGGGTATGCTCCCCAGGAAAATTTTATCATTTAGACTCTCAGAGATTGAATATCTGAGGCAAATGTGGTAAATGAACGACACTCTTCCACGCAGGATTGTAGCTTGTCTTGTGCTTCTTGTTACTTCCTTGAGCACAGCTGGAACTAGCGTTTCTGCGCTTCATCGTTCTCACCACGGTAGTTCTCTTGTGAAACACGTGGGCAGCTTAAGTAAACTATTATAGTACATACATAAACTGTGAATACAATTATTCGAGCTCATGCGCATAGAGCGGCGGAGTGGAACTATAGCGCGGCGCTGCACCGCTCTTCCGCACTTTAACGAGAACCCTGACTGACAGACAGACACACTTACAAACCAAGTACTGTAACCCTCGCTGCGCATGCACACCGAGGGTTAATAAGCATTTAAGAATGAAAGCTTAATTCCGAAACTATGGAGAAGTGGATTAGTTATTGGGTAAAGAACTGGAGGCAGATGACATCTTTGGGCATAGTCTATAGCTAAATTGATTGTTGGTGTCGTTTTGAAGGCGTTCTTGGCAAGCATGAAGCATTTTTGTAGATGCCTTTTTGACCGAATTTTTGAGAATTTTCTTGTACCACCCACCGTAATGTGTATATGTCGAGATTACGCACTTCATTTAAAACACTATGTGCAGAATATTTTACCCGACTATTCATTTGGTAGCTGTAGCTTTTCATTTTTCTTGGTGGTAGAACCATTACTTGAACTGTCTCTCGGTAACTTTTTGTCATTACTGTCACTCCACCAGTGAAATCTAAGTGGGCTGAACCTCTTCTGCGTTATGCTAGCTCCAGGTAAGGCACCTAATCACCCTCGCCTAAGCATTTCCACTAGTAGCTATAGTGTCTAATTATGCTCTAATGTATACATTCTACAAACTGCCTGTCCCGGACATACACAGAGAGCTATGCACATGGCTACATAAGACATTAGTCTAGAAGTCAATTGCAACGTGCAGCACAAAAACCCTTATACTGAGTGACTCAACCTCTACTTCACTACACAAACACACATAAAAGGATAAAAAAAGGCCATGAAAAATGCTTGGAATGCGTGGTATTTTAAACAGGCACACCTTAGCTATTTGGTTTATCCTTTTATGTGTGTTTGTGTAGTGACTTAGAGGTTGTGTACAAGAGCTTACCTGGACATGGCTTGTTGTGGGTCAGAGCATTATACTTCGTGGAATTGGTTAACACACCAGACATCAGCCGTTCCGTTAGAGGTGGTCCCACGAATGGCAAAACAATGGGACTGTGACACGACACGGAAGTGTTAGTGGAAGCAAATGAAACGGAGGCATCTACAGGTAGAAATCTGTTGCCCTTTGATCCACGCACATTACAACAGATGAGGAACTCCCTAACATTATTCTTTGCATAGTCCAGAGGCGAGAGGCCCTCTCTGTCCCTGCTGGAAGGATCAACTCCCTTCTCGTCGACCAGATATCTCACCACAGTGAGATGGCCTCCTCTGGCGGCTGAATGAAGCGGAGTGGCACCGTCCGTTCCCCTGAACCCTGGGCTGACTCCTTCCGTCTCTATCAGATACTTAGCCACCTGTACGTGGCCGGCTTCGCAGGTGACTCCGAGCGGCGTACGTCCCGATTCGTCTTTGGAGAACGGGGTGGCATTTCGCTCCGAGACCAAGTTTGTTACGAGGACTATGTCTCCCGACGCACATGCCTGAAAAAGGAGTAGTGTCAGAGTGAGAGCTGTGGCTCCTCGCGGCGTCCCGGACTGAGACCTAGAAGTGACTACATGCAGCTCCTTATTATAGTTCTTATCCGCCATTGTTCTACGGAGAAATGACGTAGCATGCTACTCCGTCATCATCTCTGCGCATGCGATAACCCCTCGCGGCGCGGCGAATCACGGCAGCATTTTTCTTCAGTGTTGAGCATAGGTAGCCGGTCAGTTAGGAAACGCACATGCAGGCGGCTGTTAACCAACAATGTTCAAAAAAATCAATGATACAACAAAAGGTACCGATGTCAAAATCACCATAATATGTATTTCTCAAAATGAAAAATCTGGACTCTGTTGTTCGAAGAGTCACAAACAAATAGCTTTTCTTCATTTGATGTGATACAATAGGGAGAACAAAGCTCTCCAACCCTACTACCACGATAAGCGATGGTGGTGACAAACTCACCTGTAGTTTTATATACAACAATACAATCATGGGTTAAATCTGATACAAAAATATATTCTTTTGCAATATGAAGGCCAGTTGGAAGACCAACTTTATTGGCATCTTCCTCACCAATAAACCGAACAAATTGGCCAGTTTTGCTGTCAATTACTTGCACTCTCTTATTACTAAACTCAGCCACATACATGTTCCCAGAAGTGTCAAATTTAACGTCAAATGGTTCATTAAATTCATTAATTCCATTGCCACATGAGCCAATAGATCGTACGAAGTTCAGGTCGAGGTCAAAAACTTGAATTCGATGATTATTACGGTCACTTACATAAAGGTTGTCTTCGTATATTGCTAGACCACGAGGATCATCAAACTCGTAAAACTCTCCCTTCTTCCCACCCTTCTCATTACCAACACATTTCTTCAATTCTCCCTGGCTACTGAACTTTTGTAGCTTGTGCTCGCTGCTAACATAAATATACTTCTCTTCTTTGTCAACTGCTACTCCAGCTGGATACGTCATACTCTCTGGCGTTTCCCCACGTTCTCCAAACATTAGGAAAGTCTGTCCCCTGTTATCGAGGATGGACACTCTGTCTCCACCCCATTCAGTGATTACTATTTCACCTGATTTTCTTAGAGCAATTCCATAAGGTTTTTCCAAGTTAGGAATAGTCGTTACTGGCTGTAAAAAATTTAAAAAAGCTATAGTGACATAAGGATTGCAGAGTTTTCTCTGTAATGTAAGAGGTGTGTAATTTTGTTGCTAATGTCTTATGTTGAATTGTAACTAACACACTTCAGATTTTCCGAAATCAAAACTTGACTAAACCTCGGAATTTTTAGTGTATGGCTTTATGCTGTTGATGTTCATGTGATCTGCATTCCTAACCCAAACTGAGCGCGACAAAAATTGTGCTCTGTAATAGATTAATCTGTCACGCTGTACTTCCCCTGTAGACTCAAGGCGGAAGAGAGTTGTTACTTCTTTGGAATCACTTTCACAATTACACCTCCTCGGTTGTCGTACATATCATTGCGTTAGCACATACCAAAAAAGGCGGCCTCCCGCACCGCACACGAACCTACTTTGGCATAGTTTAGCGGGATGATTTGTGCAAGCACTTGTGCGACTATGCGACACCTTAGAGGTGTCTCTAGGATGCTTGGTGAACACCGCTATTAGTGGCACCGTATCACCCGTGTCTGCACTTGACTCACTGCTCCGCTCGCTTCTCCTGTAGTCTAACCCGTTGCGACCGCTACATATCTGCTACACCCAGTTCCTCATCAAAGTGATTGTGCTCTTTGAAAGATACCGCAGGGGAGCGTTTATACGAGTGCGTGATCCCTGGTGACAAACTCAAATATAGTATCGCAAGCATTGTCTACACTACGGGTTCTAGCAGGCTTCCACGGGCATTTTTACCGGGGGCAGGGTCCCGGCCCATTAAATAGTCTACTAGTTCGTGCAGGCGTGCCTAGTCAGTCTTGAATCGCGGATTGTCATTTAGAGGTCTCTCTCACGAGTAGATGTCAGCTCAACAGATCCATACGTTTTGCCTTGCATCCGCATTCAGCAGGACTATGTTTGTCTCGGTACAGGCTCGGGTGGATGATCTGAGTCCCCCGCCCTTGCAGTAGATTACTTAGCCCTCCTTGGAGTCAAGCCCCGTGACCTCGGTATAACATCGCACAGTATTCGGCACTATTCATGTCATTCGAAAGGAACAGGATATTTAGGTCGTGTGATGAACGGC